GGGCACGGAGTGCCTCACCCCCCAGGGGCGCCGAACGGCTCGCGTGAGCCAGGCCTCCAGGGCGGCCCGATCGCGGGCGATCCCCCGAGGGATCAAACGGAGATCCCGACGCGACCCAGGTCGGGCCCCCTCCCAGCAGAGGCCAGATGGGCCTCCTCCTCCCTCCTCCCTCCCTCCCTCCCTCCCTCCTCGGATGCCCCTCTGGCCCCCCGCCGCGAGGGCCTCCCTGGGGCCCGCCCGGGGCCGCCGCGAGCACTGGGAGCAGCACTGGCCGCTCTCCTTCGGGGGAGCCCCCAGGTGGAGGGCTTCTCCGAAGGGCTTAGGCGACCCGTCCTCCTCCTCCTGCTCCTCTTCTTCCTCCTCTTCTTCCTCCTCCTCTTCTTCCTCCTCCTCCTCCTCTTCTTCCTCCTCCTCCTCCTCCTACTCGGGTCGCCTACGGCCCCGGGGGAAACCGTGCACCCCCATGCAAGAGGTTTCTGGGTCAAAGCTCGGCTCTCCAGCGACCCTTGGGGCCGACCCGGGCATCCCCCCCCGGAAGCCCCTCGGCGAGGCGCAGCTGCTGGAGAGCACCCCGCGGCGGGGCAGCTCCGTGTGGGAGCCTGCGGCAGCGCCCGCAGGCCCAGAGAAATCGACGCAACTCCACCCCTGAGAGCACTGCCCCCCGCTGTCGCAAGGGCGCCCTCGAGGGCGCGAGGTTACTCGCGCTTCGCGCTTCTCGCGTCGGCTCCGATTCCTTCGCATCCTCCTCTTCTCCCCTGCATGGGGGGCGGCGCGGGAGCGCGGAGTTGCTCGCGCCTCGCGCAGCGCGGAGTGCGATTTTGGGAGCCCTTGCTGTCGGCGGCGAGCCGGGGGGGAAGGAAGCGAGAAGGGGCGGGCCTCCTCCGAAGGTTTGGAAGTCCCCCAGCCTTGGGAGGAGTCTTCGAAGCCCCCCCCGGAAGCCACAGGCAACGTCCGAGAAGGCTGGAGGGCTTCCGAGAAGCCCCGCCACCTTTTGAGAAGGCCATCCCCTTCTCACCCCCCCTTTGACCCAGACATCTGGCCGCTCCACTGTGTTCGATGCGTGGGCCCCGGCGGTCTGGACCACTTCCCAGGAGCCGACTTTTCGTCCTGAGCCGTTTTTTAACGCTCCCCGAGGCTCGGCGAGGGCCCCTGGCGGGTGAATGAAAACGGCCCAAATCCTGCCGCTCCAATTTTCGGAGCGTGTTTCTTTATCGCTTGGGGCATCCTGGGCATTATAGCCCCCGGCCCCCCCCCTCCCCCCCCCTATAACGTACCGCCCCTCCCCCCCCAGTGCGCTCCGGGCACTGCCGCCGAGCCCCCGGCGGGGGGGAGGCGTTACACTATACCCCTCCCCTGGCCCCCCCCCCCGTAATGCCCATTTCAGGGGGAAAAGAAACACACAGACACAATTAATCGTCGACTCCCAGGAAAATATGCAAAAATATGGGAAGTGGGGGGGAAGACAAAAACCCAGAAAATATGGGAAAATATGGGGAATATTTTTATTTGTGTGTATTTATTTGTGTGTCCTAATTTCCCTTGACCATTGTCGCCGAAAATGCAGAAACGCGCTCTTGTGGGAGCGCCGGCTCTCTGGAACCGAGACTTCCCCAGCAATGCAGGGCAATGGCGAGCAGAAAACATTTCGATATAGGTCTTAGATAGGTTCAAAAGTAGGTTCGGGAGATAGGTTCGCAAGCATAGTAGGTCCCAGGAAGAAGGTGCAACGCGCGGGGAAAACGTGTCATCGGGCATATAGCCTCCCGTCACTGGGTTTGCCAAAGCGCGTCGGCGCAAATGCCGCGGGCAGCTAAGTTGGCGAAGCGAATCCGCCAAAGTAGCCCTGGCAAGTGCACCTGGGGACGTTCCCTGGCCGCGGTAACCTCGCCAAGAAGGTTCGCAATGAAAAGGGCGCCAGGGCTGCATTTCAGGCAGTGGCCGCGACACTTTTCGCGCGATGCACCCCCGGGTACTAAACATAGAAAATAAACGAGAGCGGCTGCGGAGAAGACCTCCGCAAAAACGATCCGCCAGAAAAGCAGTCACGACAATGGGTGGCCCAAAAATCAATTGGGGCAGCCCCGGCAACTGGCATGGCGAACAACGCAATTCAAGGAATCCTGGACAGGCCGGGCCGCCACCAACAATCACTACCCCAGCAAAGCCCCCATACCGTGTCCCGGCGGGGCTCGGGCGCGCCATGGCTCCTCCTCATTATCACGGCCGCCACGCCCAAGGTCATTCTGCCCTCCCCAAAGCCACTCGTCATCAATCACATCATGCTTCCCATCATCGCCCCCCTTGCCTCACCATCCTCTCCCTCATCAGCCGCAGCATCCATGTTCTCATCCTCCTGCCCCCGATCCTCCCCGCCCTCCCCGCCCCCCCCTCCTCCTCCTCCTCCTCCTCCTCCTCCTCCTCCTCCTCCTGCTCCTCCTCCTCCTCCTCCTCATATTCCCCATCTTGTTCCTACCTTTCTCCCTCACCCCCCCTTCATCCGCCCCTCATCCTCCACCCGATCCTCCGGATCCTCTTGGTCTTCCTCCTCCTACTCCTCTCTCCTGTTCCTCCTTCCTCTTGGCCCTCCGTTTCCTCGACCTGGCTCTCCTCCTCCTCCTCCTCCTCCTCCTCTTTTTCCTCCCCCACATCCTCCTCCCGGCTCTCCTCGTCCACCTCCTCCTCCTCCTCCTCCATTCCTCTTCCTCCTCCTCCTCCTCCCCCACATTCTCCTCCACCTCCTCCTCCTCCTACCTTCAATCCCTGACCCTCCATGCTTACGAAAACAGTTTGAAGTAGGTTTGAAGTAGGTTTGAAGTAGGTTTGAAGTAGGTTTGAAGTAGGTTTGAAGTAGGTTTAAAGTAGGTTTGAAGTAGGTTTAAAGTAGGTTTGAAACCTACTTTGAGGCCTCCGAAACCTACTTTGAGGCTCCTAAAACCTACTTTGAGGCCTCCGAAACCTACTTTGCGCTACCGAAAACCTACTTTTGGAGTCCGGAAACCTTCTTTGGAACCTACTTTGCAAAAACAAATTCTGCAAACCTACTTTCCGACCTACTTTTGGGGCGCGGTTCCTTGAAACATCAGCACACGCTTGCCCGAGCCTTTCCCAGAAGTCGCCCCCAGGGGCGGCGCGCCAAAAAAGGAATCTGCGAAGTACCCCCAGAAGGTGAGCAAACCCAAAACACTTGTAGGTTGCCCCCGACAGGCGGGAGCCCCCCAAAGGGGGCGGTCTTCCCCCCCCCCCGAGGGTCGAGGATCGAGCGCGATTTCGCTGTCGGGCGACAAGCGAACGCACCGCGACAGGACAGGGCCTTTTGGCGGCCCCCCCGCTGGCGGGCAGGGGGCCGCCGCCTGGCGCCCTAGGTTCTTCAGAAACCAAACCTGATGCGGCCGCCCCCCGCCCCCCGGGGCCCTCCGGGCCCGGCCCGACGGAGGCGCCACTCCCCTTCCGTTTCTCTTTCCTCCTCCCACCTCTCTCCACCTCCTCTCCTCTTTCACGCGTCCTCATTATTCCAGCCCCCCCCCACCTCCTCCCCCCGGAAACGCCGCCTCCCCCCTGCCCGCCCTCTGGAGCCCCCCACCCTCCCGTTTCTCACCTTCTTAACCTTCCTGGTCCTCCCTCTCGTCCCCCCCCCTCTCCCTTGCTCGGGCCCGCGGCCCTCGCCCCGCCCTCCATGCCCCGCTTCCCGCTGCGGTCAGACCAAGGGGGAAACGCAATGCCCCCAGATCTCAGGGCGGAGGTGGTTTAGAGCGCTTCCTGTTCCAACAACCCCCAGTCTTCCCTTCGGGGATGGATGCACCCCTCCCCCCCCTCCTTCCGGGGTCTGCAATGGGGGGCGGCGGGTCGCTGGAGCGCCCGCGACGGTCAAAGATAGAGCCGGCATGACCTCGCAGAATGCAACGCGGTCTCACAGATGGTTCAAGATAGCCCAAGATGGATCAACATTGTTTCCCGCATGCTCCAAGAAACCCAAATACCGCTCCGAGACCGCCCCAAGCGGCCGCGGAGCCACCCAATAACACCCCCGAGAAGCCGAAATCTTTCCAAATCGTACGAGACACGAATGAATTGGGCCTTTTGGCCCATGCGCTTCCGAAGACTTTGGAAGCCTGAAGATAAGCCCCGAAGGAGTCCAGAAGAACCCAAGACAGCGCACTTCACGAATTACTCGGCTGGTTTGCTAGCAGAAGCCGCGCCTTGCCGGCGGCATTCCAGCATTTCCCCGAGAAGCTTGTTTGGAAAATATCATTACTGACCCGATCCCGACAAGTTACTTTTGATATTGTGTTCCCGATAACCTTTCCTGGAAAGCTACTTTTGCACATGAATGTCGCATTCCTTTCCCCTGAAAGTTTCTCGCGGCAATCGGTTTCGCCATCCTTTCCCTTCGAGTTACCTGCGCCGACCACTGTTGCCAGGCGCGCTGCAGACCTACTTCGCCGACCTACTTCAGGAGCTACTCTAAACCTACTTCATTTGTTTTGCGCCTCAAACAAGCCCTGCATTCAAAGGGAAGTCTCGGCTCTGGAAGCCGTTGCTCACCGAGCGCGCCCCACTGCTTGCAAAGTGCCTACGCGCAAACGTCCGAAACGCGCATGTCTTCGCAGGCGATTTCTCTCCCCCAATCCCCGACTTCCGCCAGAAAAGTTTGGTCGCTCAGAAAAGGGGAGGAATCTTGGGATACATCCCGAGGGGGCTATTCGGACGCACCCCTGTCGAGGATGGACGCCCCCCCCTCGTATATCCCAGGGTTGGGCCCCAAATTGTTGATCCTCTCGAAACCCTCACGGAGCCTGGGATAGGGGTCGACGCATCCCCTGTTATGTCTGTTACGACGTGATCTATCGTAGATTCCCCGCGGGGAGATCCACGCCATTCGCGAGTAGCTGCTTTGCGAGCAGTGGAACGCGCTCGTCCAGTTGCCCCGGCCGCAGGCTCGCGGGCCGCCGCGCTGCGCAGGCCGCCGCCCCGCCCCCGCGGCTGCGCCTCGGGCGGCCAGGGCGCGGGGCTCCCGCGGCGCGGGCGGGCGGGCGGCGCCCGCGTCTGGGACCGGCGGCTGGACGCGCTCAACGAGGCTTTCAGTCGGGCCTGTCCCTCTAGAGGGAGAGCTTGGAAGAAAGATGCAAACTAGTCAACAAAAAAAACCCTAAAGTATTCAAACATGGTCAAAAAATCGTCCCCCTGACTATTTCGTGACTATTTGTGAATACTCCTCCTGTAGAGGGACAGGCCCGACTTACACGAGGCTTAAGTCGGGCCTGTCCTGCAGGAGGCATCTTCAGTTACACCAAAGAGAAACCCCAGTGGATGCTTTGGGTCGAGAATGAGATCGATGAGGAGATCGACCGGGAACCCGGGAACCCGGGGGAATCCGGAACCCACCGAAATCGGCCTGGAACTAATGACCAGGAACCCGGGGACCCAGAACCGGGAATTTGAGGAACCCAGCCGGCTACCAAAATCGGCGGGAAATTTTCGCCAAATCTTTCAACTCCCGCTAGGACCCCTTCAGTGCAAGCACTGATTGGGGATGGGGAAACATAGTCTGGGGACGATTGTTTGACTATGTTGGAGTTCCACCTTCCGTCCAAATCCGCCTATAGGAGGACACGTCCGACTTAAAACGAGGCGGCCGCGGCAGGCGACGTGGGAACGGCCTCGGCGGTGTTCGGGGAGCTGGACGTCGGGGGGTCTGATGCGCCGATTTTCCACCACTACCATTGGTAGGAGAGGGAGGAGGAGAAGGAGGAGGAGGAGGACCTCCCCATCCTCCCTTATCTTCCGTCCCACATATGGTGGTAGGGGTGGTGGAAAGATTGGGCCATCAGGGTCGGGGCTCAAGAGACGGGGGTCACTGCAAGCGGGGGTCAGTCAGAGCGCCGGACCTTGCAGGATCCTGCAGAGCCAGGTTGCATTGGCACGGGCTTGGGCGCAGGATCCTGGAGTATCTTGCACGATCGCGCAGTATCCTGCAAGGCCTGACTGACCTGGGTCTGGATTGACCCGGGTCAGAAGATCTCGGAGTGGAACAGGTAACGACATTAACATGCATTTTCGGAGGTCCGCGCGGAGTCCTCGGATCGGCGCTGGCCGCCCCCGGAACGCCCCGTGTGCCAGGGAGAGGGGTTCAGCGCCGATCCCAGAAATCCGTGCGGCCGACAGTTTCCGTTGGTTCAACTGTTCTGTTCCCCGAGGACGGGCTGCTGCCGGCCAGCATGCAGACGCTGCTGTGGAACACGCTGCTGAAGGCCCACGCTAACGCCGGGGACTACGAGGGAGCCATGGCCCGCTTCGCGGCCATCCCGGGCGTTGCCCGAGGCGTCTCCCCCGGCCCAGGGCGTCCCCGGGAGTTCGGTACGATCGAACTGGCTACGATCGAACGATGCCAAAAAGGGAAGTAACGTTCGGCCTCCCAAGAGGAGGAGGAGGAGGAGGAGGAGGAGGAGGAGGAGGAGGAGGAGGAGGAGGAGGAGCACCGACTGCAATTCCCGCCCACTCTGAGTAGGGTTCGCTGTCGGTGCCGCCGCGGGCGAGGTCCACTTGAGGCTGTAAGGCCGACTGCCCTGCAGCGGCCGCTGTCGCTCTATGGGGACAGCATGTGCTGTTGCGCGGCATCGTCCCCATTTCTACCGTATCCGCTTCTGGTGCAACTGTGTCCCCAGGTCTCCTGCGGAGGCCGGATGGCCTCAGCCTCCCTCCAGAGCGCTCCTCGCATGGCCAAGACGGCCGGCCCCATCGGCCCGCGGGGATGGCGCGAAGAGCTCCGGGACAGCCTGGGAGCAGGGCCGCCTCGTGGCAACCCCCGAGCCATGGGCGAACGCAGCGTGCGCGTGAACTCGAGGACCGGGGGAGCAGCACGAACGAAACGCCGCCGTGGGGAGCTCCTCCGCCTGTCACTGCTGGAGTAAGCGCGATGCCTGTGTGACAGCAACAGAGGAGTACCACGCTGACGGGCTCCCGACGGCAGCGCGTCACTGAGTTATCGGAGGTGGGTCGACCTCCTGCCTTCGACGCGTCGATTTGTGAATTGGCCGTTTTCGGCTCGCGGGAGGGCGTCGCGGCCGTGCTTCGTGCGGTTCCAGGTCCGTCGGGTTCGGTCCTGGGCCGTCTTCACCAAAGGGTGGTTACGCAAGAGAGGTTCGTCCACCTCCGAGGATCTGATCTCAGGGGTAGGGATATGGGGGGGGGATGGACTCGTGGGCGGCACGCGTCGCCGAGAGGGGGCGCGATGGCCCGCCCCGCCCAGGAGCGAGCGGTCTTGCGATCGGGGGACTCCGGGTCGATGTTTCCCCCCCCCACTGGGACAAGAGGGGGAAGTGGAGGAGGAGGAGGAGGAGGAGGAGGAGGAGGAGGAGGAGGGGGAGGAGGAGGAGGAGGAGGAGGAGGAGGAGGAGGAGGAGGAGGAGGGGAGGAGGGGAGGGGGAGGAGGGACAGCGGCCTGGAGTCGGCGAGACGTCACCGATACGTCGGCGACGGGCCGCCGGTGGCCATGCCGTGCTTTCCAGGGGGCGGGTCGGGCCGTCGGGCTCCTGTCGGAGGTCAGTGGCCGACTCGGGGTCGACGCGTGCCGCCCACGAGTCCATCCCCCCCCCCTCCTCCTCCTCCTCCTCCCTCCTCTCTCCTCCTCCTCCTCCTCCTCCTCCTCCTCCTCCTCCTCCTCCTCTCCTCCTCCTCCTCCTCCTCCCCGAGCTAGTCTCGAGTCGGGCCTGTCCCCCTGCAGGAGGGATGTTCCACCATGGTCCAAAAAGATGTCGGGGGACGATGGCCTGACCACTTCTGAGCCTCTGTGGAGCTTGTGTTTCATTCTTCTCAGTGGTCCAAAAGCTCCGCCTGTGGGAGGACACGCCCGAGCGAAAGCCAGCCCCCCCCCCCGCGGACGCTGCCCCTCACGGAGCCGAGGGGGCAGCACGCCGACGGGCCCCCGCTCGGCCGCGAGCCCGCGGGGGGCGAGAGAGCTCGAGCCAGGGGGGCGGGGCCTGCCCGGGCAGGCCGAAGGCCTCCCGCCCGCTGAGGAGCTGCCTCCGGCCGGCTCCGGAAGCACGACCGTCAACGGCACCGTAACTGGTACTTACTAACGGGTACTTTGATTTTTTGCCGAAAGTTGCCACTTTAGGGCCTTTTTCTTGCATTGCAGCTCTGCCCACATCGGGAAGGGCTGGGTTCGCTGGGTCACTGGCCAAAGTACCCGTTAGTGGAGTCCCCGTTTGAGGGGCGCTGAGACCGACTTCGCAGGTCGGGGAACATCCAAAAATAATTGAAGCATCGTCCGGGGACGATGTTGGTTGGATTAGTTTTGACTCTTAGCTTTCGTCCAACAAGCCGCCCTTATAAGGGGACGGGCGGGGGAAACGCAAGACTCGAGCGAGCCGGATCTCGGGTCTGCCGACTTGTTTTGCGACGAGCGCGTCCTGGATGTTGCCGGTCCGGTGTTCGTGGTATTTGTTTGCGGCGGGAGGTCGCGTCGGATTTCAGATTGGGCCTCGGCATTCTGAGGATGGCACCGCCAGGCCAACCTGATTTCCCCCCTATTCGGGGGTGGACAGAACCCCCAACAGTGACACGTCGATTCGTGAATTGTCCGTTCTCGGTTCTCGAGAGGGCGCCGTGGCCGTCATTTTCCAGGCTTGCGCCCGCCAGGTTTGGGCCTCAGGTCGTTTTCACTAAACCACGTTTTACTAAAGGGGGGTCTGTCCTTTCCCGACCTATACCCGAGTCTTACGTCTCCCCGATTCTCTGGAACTATGGCCAAAGCTGCTCGGGGGGCGCGCGGCTCGTGAGCAGGCTGAGCAGGCCTGCCCCCCCCTCTCTCAGGAGAGGAAGAAACACGCAGACAGAATGAGTTGTGGACTCCCCAGACATATAGTCACCACCCACCAAACCACCCCAACCCAACCCGAAGGCTCAGATTTACCCTCGATTTCCAGTAGGGGGGGTGTCGGGAAACATCGAAAGAACACGTGTGGAACCCTTACCCCCCCCAGCCCGAAATTCGGGTCTTCGGGTTGGGTTGGGGTGGTCTGGTAGGTAGTCATGTAGGGGAAAATACGAGAAGTGGGGGGAAGACAAAAACCCAGAGAATATAGGAAAATACAGGGAGTCCTCGCTTTTGTGTGTTATCACTTGCGTCTCCTTGGGCCCCTTGACTCTCACCTCCCGCCCCGGCGCGCCGCCGAGTCTGGCCTTCGGGTCGCAGCTCTGGCCTCCAGCGGCCGCTTCGGGACGCTCCCGGCACGCTCTCGGCGAGGCGCAGCCGCTGGAACGCATCCCGAGGCTGCAGAACCGCCGAGGACCCCCCTCCAGGCTACTTTCAATTTCCCCGATTTTACGCGATTCGATTTCGATTGCTTCCCATTCCAATTCGGTTCGGCTTGGGACTCCGTTTGGTGTTCCGACTTCTTAGTGGACGTATGCTAGCCCGCCGATTTCCGCCGATTCGACCTTTCCCGACTCGGCTGCCGATTCTGCCGCCGAGTCGATTCCCTTCGGTCGCCGATCCGACTCGTCGATTCGTTTCTGGGCCCTCCTGCCTTTCTGACTTCACCTCCTGGGCGCGCCGCCGATCCCAGCCGGCAGCGCGTCACCCAGTCAAGGGAGGGAAAAACCACCCGGACCGGACTGTTGGCATTTGTACTGAACGGCCTTCGGCGTTGACGAAGCATCAGGCAGTGGCGAAGCGTCCTGGCGTGCCTATAGGCCTGCCAAGCGCTGTTCTAAGAGCCGCTTGCGGATTCCACGACAAGTTCTTAGAACGCATCGATCTTGTTCTAACACATCGGGTTTATGTTCTAAGAACATTGTTTCTGTTATGAGAACATGTTTGGGTTCTAAGAACATTTCGTGGTTGGCCTATAGGAATGCCTGGACGGCCGGCCCCTGCTAAAAATATACAGCCCTGCCTGGTTTGATTCCTTCTTCGGGTGCGTTCACTGAACGGCTTCGCGTGTCGGGGTGGTCATCATCGGGGTGGATGTCTTGCCCTCTGCTCAGCGCCGTCGCCCCTCGGCGGCCCCTCGGGCCCCCAGCAGCCTCGGCGGCGACGCTCCGTCGCCCGGGCCGGTGAGCGCCGTACGCCTCTCTGGGAAGGGGCTGCGCGCGCAACACGTCGCGTGCCCTTATAGGCAGAGCGCGGTCGACGTTGACGCCGCCGCCGACGCCGCCGCTGTCGACGACGACGGCAAACCATGGTCCCACCACGACGACGACGGCAACGAAGACGGCGGCAACGAGGAGGAGGAGGAGGAGGAGGAGGAGGAGGAGGAGGAGGAGCACATCCCCCGTTCCTCGCCGCAGGACCTTCGGGAAGCTCATCAAGTCCGCCGCGCGCTCCGGCCGCGCGCGCGCGGCATTCGAGCTGCTGCGCCGGCTGCTGGACGCCCCCGGCCTGGGCGGCGCCGACGCCGTGGCGTACAGCACCGTCCGCGCGCCCAGCGGGGGGGGGGGAAGGTCGATGCAGGCCTCCTTAGGTGGGTCGGAGCACACGGGGTCGGAGGATCGCGCCGCATCGCCGTTGCATCGGCGACGCGGCTCGATGTGGAGCCCGATGGTCTCCGCGCCGATGCGGAACGATCCTCTGACCTAATCTACTCGGACCCCACCTAGGGAGCCTCTAGTCAAGCAGTGGCGAAGCGTCGTGACTCGCCCTAGGCCCACCAGATAATATTCTAAGAGCCTCTTGAGGTGAGTATGACATGTTCTGAGAACACTTCTGGCTTAGACAACCTGGTTAGATTCAGTCGGTCTTATGCTTAAGAACATTGTACCTGTTATCGTCCGAATCTTTTGGTCTAAGGACATGTTAGCCGGCGTGGGCACCAGACTGTGATTTGTTTTAGACATGTATGTGGTGCTATCTACGCGAGGCAATTTATGCGGTGCAGTCTATGCGGAGCAATCTACATGGTGCAAGACATGTTGTGCAATGCACGATGTGCAATCTATGTGGTGCAATAGATGTGGCGTAACATATGTGTTGCTATATACGTGTTGAAGTCTGTGTTGTGCAATCCATGTGGAGCAACATGTGTTGTTCAAGACATGTGGTGCAATATATGTGGTGCAATAATTGTGATGCTCCATATGACATGCAGTGTAGGTTGTGCACTTCTATGTGGCGCAATATATATGTATACATGTATATACTCGCTTACCTATGTGTATATATGTCTGTATGTCTGTGGGAGGAAGAGGGAGGGAGGGAGGGAGGAGGAAGGATGGCGGAGGGAGGGAGGGATGGGAGCTGAAGGATGAGGGAGGAAGGGAAGGGAACAGGAGGAGGAGGAGGCGGACAGGCGCCGAAGGTTTAGGTGGGGACCGATCGAAACAATTTGTTTTTTGATTTTTTGGTTTGGGCACCAGATAGGCAGGCGCTTGGTCGAAACAATCAATTCGCGCATCTTGGGCTCGATGCGTCGGGAGGCCTTCACAGTTGCTTCGCAAGAAGCGGCGACGAAAGAAAGGAAGGCCCGCCACACACACACACACACACACCACACACACACACACACAGAAACACACACAGAAACACACACAGAAACACACACAGAAACACACACACACGCACATACGTGCCAACCGCTAGAAGCGCGACGGCGGACATCTTCCGAGCCGCTGAGAGGTTGGCAGCCAGAATCCAGGAACAGCGTGGAGTTGTCGGCCTGCAGGCTGCGTGTGTGGGGCATCCAGCTTTCCTGACGCAGCCCGTCCCTGATTGGTTTGTAGGAGAAGGGGTTGTCCATTGATGCGGTGACCAAGTCAAAATGAAGAGTGGAGGTAGTACAAGGGCCCGGAGCTCCGCACTGCAGCCTGGTGCGCCGTGTGGGTTGTTGTTCTTTTGTGCTGGCCAATTGGGGCCCCACTACTCCGCACTGGACATATCAGCAGGCCGTTCATACTGCCCCTCGGCTATGCCCCTTGTAGGAGAAGCGAATTATCCCCTGTGCCTCCTCCGCCTCCGCTCCCTCCATCTACCCCCTCTTTCCCCCCTTCCTTCTCCTCTCCCCTTCCTTCCTGTCCATCCCACTTTTTCCCCATCATCCCCCTTAGTCCCTCCTCCGCCGCCTCCCCTCCTCCCCCCCTCCTTAATAATTATATATACCGTGTGAGTACTGCTCGCCTCTCCCCCCTGACTCCGTCCGGAAGGTAGCCGGTTCTCTCCGCGTACTGTTCACACACACACACCAGTTCAACCATGATGTTTCCTATGTTTTAAAACAACCCGAATTTTTCTGGCGATTCAAAATCGAATGCCCGCTGCAGCGTGGGCCTCATTTTTGGATCGGGATTTTGTTCCCTTCGTTTCGACTGGCCCATCGCCCAGCGCGGACCTTGTTTCTGAATACGAGTCTTTTTTGTTCATCGTTGCCGCCCCACCTCCTCCTCCTCGCCCCGTCTTTTCCCAGATTGCGTATAACGTATAACACGACGGGGTCCTCTTTGAAGTTTTAGGTTCGCTATACACGCGTCGGCCGATAGAGAAACAACAGCGCAACAGGAAGGGACGGGTTGGAGGGGCAGGATGGCAGCTGTGGCGCGAGCGCTTCTAGCTTGCCCTTCCCTCCGCTGGGCCCTTTCCGCTACGGTCGATGCGCTTCGACATCAAGTCTGGCTGGCCCGATACGACTCGATCTCGATGTTTGTCTCGATGTTTGTTTCGATTCGGTGCGGCCCGATGCGGGCATGGCGCCGCTGTGCACCCAAACGCGGCCGATCCGATTCGATTCCGACTTCGTGGCGATGGGAGCCGCCTCCCGACCTGATCCGAGGCTCCGACTCGATGTCTCCGGATCCTCGGCATCGCTCGGACGTGTGCATTTTTCCTTCGGCGAGGATCATCGAGGAGCATCCTTGACCATTTGGCGAAAAAACCACGCACGAAACCGAAAACAACACAGGGAATGGACGTCCGAGCGATGGCGAGGATCCTCAGCGGGCGCGTTCCGCTGTTCGCAAAAGTGCCCTTTCGCAAACCTCCTAGGCAAAAGGCGCGCTTCCGCCTCGATGGAACGGATCTCGAATCCCCAGCTGCGGGTCCAGGCCTTTTGCGAGCAGCTCGTGTGCTCGGGCCGCACGAAAGGGGGGGATAGGGAAAGGGGGGGTTACGAAATCTGCTGCATTCAGCTGGTTTCGGCCCCGCCGCCGGGCCCATTCCTCGATACATGGGCGCCTCCCGGCGCCGGGAGGCGCTGGGTAAATCAGCTATAGGTGAGCTGATTCTCTACCCTACCCTTTGCTATCCCCCCCTTTCGTCGAGTGGTGGAACGCGCTTGTCCAGATCCTGCTCTGCTCCTCTCCGCTCCCGCCCGTCGCCCTGCCTTGCCCTTCACCACCCACCAAACCACCCCGACCCAACCCGAAGGCCTCAGTTTGCCTTCCATTTCCAGTTTTTCTCTAGCCAAACTAGTCTGGGGACGATGTTTGGATTATTGCGAATGCCTTACGGCCGGTGCCGCCGACCCTGAATGGCGACGACGACGACGACGACGAGCGCTCTTGGGGGCCTCTTGGGGGTAGTTTGTAGGCCTCTTGGGAAGCTCTTAGGGGCCGCTTGGAAGCCTCGTGGGGGCCTCTTGGGGCTTCCTGGGGGTCTCTCGGAGAGGGCCTGGGACGTCTTGGAGGCTTCTTGGACGGTCTGGAGCTATCTTGGGCGTTTTCGCCCGATCTTTGGGCGACTCGGGGCCCTCTTGGGCCGTCTCGGGGGCCATCTTGGGCATTCGGACTTCATTTGGAGTGTTTTCGAGGTTTCTAGGCCGCCCGAGAAAAAACGAATCTGCCCCCCCCACCCCCCCACCCCCCCCCCCGGGGACCCCCCCCGGGACCCCTCCCCCCCCCCCTGGGGAAGGGATCAAAGGGAAGGGGCTTCCCTTCGACTCGATTACGACACTGCTAGTCTGGGGACGATGTTTGGATTATTTGGTAAGTATCCCCAGAAATCCGCCTGTAGGGGGACACGCCCGACTTATGCTTTGCACTTCACCACCCACCAAACCACCCCAACCCAACCCGAAGGTCTCAATTTGCCCTGCATTTCCAGTTGGGCGGGGTCGGGGAACATCGACAAAAACACATTAAGCCCGCACCCCCCCCAACCCGAAATTCGGGTCTTCGGGTCGGCTTGGGGTGATCTGGTAGGCAGTCAGCCCTGGCCGGGCGCCCCCCTGCGCAGGTCATCGACGCGTGCGCGAAGGCGGGCCTGCCGGAGCAGGCCGCCAAGCCCTGGCGGGGGCAGGGGGGGGTCGAGGAGGCGAGGAAGGCGCCAGGGGAGGACGGCATCAAGGTCGCCCTCGAGGGCGCGCGGTGATTCGCTCTTCTCGGTAAACGTAAGACTCAAATGCGACGGGATTCGGGTTAGCTGACGCTCTTTAACGAGCACGTCCTGGATTTTGGCGGTCCTGTTTTCGTGGGATGTCTGCAGCGGGAGCTCGCGTCAAATTTCAGATTGGCCTCGTAATTTTTATGAAGGCCCCGTCAGGCCAACCCGAGTCCCCCAGACCCGAGTCCCCCCGACCCGAGTCTTACGTCTCCCCGACCTTCGCGTTCCGCGGCCCGTCTCTGATTCCTCCCCATCCTCATCTTCTCCCCTGGGGGGCGGCGCGACAGCGCGAAGCTGTCCGCGCTTCGCGCGGCGCGGAGCGCGAAGTCGGGCGCTCTTGAGCGTGGCCGGGGCTCTGATCCCCGTGGACGTCATGGCCCCCCCGCTGTTACCAACCAAGGGGCCCGGTGGCCCACCCCGCCCGGGAGCGTGCGCATGCGCCGCCGCGGGCTCTGCGCCGATCTGTGTGCATCGCCGCTGCGAGCGTGGCGTTTCCCCCGGGGTTGGTCCCCCATCCTTGGCATCGCTCGGACGTGTGCATTTTCCTTCGGCGACCACCATCGAGGAGCATCCTTGATCATATCGCGAAAAACCACGCACGAAACCGAAAAAAACAGAGGAAGTGGGCGTCCGAGCGATGGCCAGCATCTGTCGTTCCTTCTGGCTGAGGATCGGGGGTGGACAGGCTTCCCACCCGGACGCGTCGATTGGCGAATTGGCCGCTTTCGGTTCGCGGGAGTGCGTCGCGGCCGTCCGTTTTGCGGGCCCAGGTCCGTCGGTTTCGGTCCCGGGCCGTTTACTCAAGGGAGGTTCGTCCACCGCCGAAAGGAGCATGGAGGATGGGAAGCACTGGAGGGCCGCGTCGTGAAAAGAGGACCGTCGTGAGGATCGGGGGGTCGAGGATCGAGGTGTTTGGGGGCGGTTTTGAGGGTCTGCTGGGAGAGAGGCTCCTCGTCACCGCGGCCGGACCTCCCGTCAGATTGTGTTGGCCGGAGCGAGCTCTGAGACATGTCTGGGGGTCTCTAGGCCTCTTAGCTGGGGTCGGAGTGGATGGGGTCGCAGGATCGCGCCGCATCGCCGATGCATCGCGATCCTTTGACCCCGTCTGCTCCGACCCCGCGTGGGAGGCCTCCAGGATCGACGTCTGACCCCCCTCGGTTTAGACGCCCTCGCGCACAAGATCCTTTTCGGGTCGTCGCCCGGGTGGCCCAGACTTTTGTCGTCGCGCTCCTCCCTGAGAGCGTTTCGTGAGAGGGTTCTATGGAAGACGCTTACGGCGAATCACCGCCGCCCCCTGCCTTTTCGGAAGCGCCTATGTGGCCGAACGTTGAGGCCAGACCTGCCAAGCTATCGGACCATGTGTTCCCCGAATCGGTTTGGAAAGCCTTCGGGGAACAGGTGGGAATCTTGAAGGTCATCTTGGCCGTCTGGAGGCCATTTTGACTCTTTCGGGTCTTCTTCGAGGACGTCTTGGAGGGCTCTTGGACCGTCTTCGAGGACAACTTGAGCGTCTTGGAGGCCTCTTGGGCCGTCTTGGGGGCCTCTTGGGGCCGTGTCTTGGGCCTCTTGGGCGGTCTTTGGGGGCACTTGGGCCGTCTCGGGCCGTCGGAAGGCAGAAAAAATGCAAATGCCACAATCCTTCAAAACCCATGGGAAATCAATGATTTTGGCCTTTTCGGGCCTTCCTGGAGGCCCTCTTGGGGGCCATTTGGGCCGTCTTGGGCCAGCTTCGAGCCAACTTCGGCCATCTTGGTGGGTTCCTGGCACGTCTGACGCCGTCGGGAGCCGTCTTGGAGGCCTTTCTGGACCGACTGGGGGCCCTCTTGGGGCGCTTCGGGGCCGTCTTGGAGGCCATCTTGGGGGCCTCATGGGCCGTCTTGGGCCATCTTAGGGCCATCTTCGGCCGTCTTGGTGGGCTCCTGGTCAGTCTGACGCCGTCGAAAGCCGTTTGGGGGGCCTCTATGGGCCGACTTGGGGCCCTCTCGGAATGCTCTAGGGCCGTCTTGGAGGCCATTTTGAGCGTCTTAAAGGCCTCCTGTGCCGCGCTGGGGCCCTCTTGGGCCGTTCTGGGGCCATCTTGGAGGCCTCTTGGGCGATCTTTCGGTGATCTTTGGGGGCTCTTGGGCCGTCTCGGGCCGTCGGAATGCCGAGAAGAAGCAAATGTCAATATCCGTCAAAAGCCCATGGGAAATCAATGATTTTGGCCTTTTCGGGCCTTCCTGGAGGCCCTCTTGGGGGCCATTTGGGCCGTCTTGGGCCAGCTTCGAGCCAACTTCGGCCATCTTGGTGGGTTCCTGGCACGTCTGACGCCGTCGGGAGCCGTCTTTGGGGCCTTTCTGGGCCGACTGGGGGCCCTCTTGGGGCGCGTCGGGGCCGTCTTGGAGGCCATCTTGGGCGTCTTGGAGGCCCTCTTGGGCCTGTTGGAGGCCTCTTGGGCCGTCTTGGGGCCCTCTTGGGGGACTCTTGGGCGATCTTGGGGGCCTCTTGGGCCGTCTTGAGCCGTCGGAATGCCGAGAAGAAGCAAATTCCAAAATGCTTCAAACCCTAGGGAAAATTAATGATTTTGGCTTCTTCGGGCCCTCCTGGAGGACCTCTTGGAGGCCTCTTTGGCCGTCTTGGAAGCCTCTGGGGGGCCTGTTTGGCCGTCTTGGACTCTCTTGGGCCGTCTTATAGGCCGTCTTGGACCATCTTGGGCGGACTTGGAGGCCATCTTGGGAGGATGTTCCGAGCGAAACGGCCGTTTTTGGCATTGACTTGTGCAGTTTCCTGGTGGCCGGCTGGACGCGCCGGAGCCCAAGGGGGAGTTCTTTCGGAAAAAGAACCAAAACCAAAACCCATATAATTTGGCACGCCAGGCACCCCTGCGATGAATCGACAGGGGGCGGCGGATCCAGCTGCCTGCGGCGAGTTCCGCCACCGTGCCAGTCCAGCAAATTGGGTGGCGGCTATTCGAGGGGGCACGGAATGCTGTCACGTGTGACACTCCGGGCGTTTCGAAGCTTTATGGGGTCTTTTGAGGGGTTGATTGGGGCTTCTTGGCAGCGCCTTGGGGGCTCCTCGGGGGCTCTTGGGGGTTCCTTGGGCCGTCTGAGAGCGCACTTGGGCCGTATGGGCGCTTTCAGAGTTCATCTTGGGGGGGACTCTCTTAGTCGTCTTGGGGCTCTCTTGGTGGTCTTGAGTGCCGTCTGAGCGCCTTCTTGGGCCGTCTTGGGTTCCTTTTGGGCCGCTCTCAGGCCATCTTGGTGCACTCCTGGGCCGTCTTGAGGCCGTCTGAGGGGCTCTTTGGGCTGTCTTAAGCTGACGAAAGCTCGAAGCGGCGAGAATGCGAAAATCCATCAACAAAGCAGGGACAGTCAATGATTTTGGCCTTTTCGGGTTTTGCTGGAGGCTCTATTTCAGCCCATTAGGACCGTCTTTGAGGCATATTGGGTCGTCTCGAGGCCATCTTGAGCCATCTTAGGCCGTCATGGACGCCTCTTGGACCATCTTGGCGGCCCTGGTGGCCTCCCAGGTCCTTCTTGGATGGCCTTCCTGGGCCGTCTTGGAACCCCTGGAGACCCCAGGGAAGCGCTATGGCCGCCCAGAGACACTCGGGAGCAGGGGTGGTGCAGTCAACTCTGCGTAGGACGGAGGGTGTCACCGCCCACCGAACCACCCCAACCCGACCCGACGGCCCCGATTTGCCTTCCATTTCCAGTGTGGGGGGGGGGGGTCGGGGAACATTGAAAAAACTCGCGTGAAGGCCGTACCCTCCCCAACCCGAACTCCGGGCGAACTTCGGATCTTCGGGTTGGGTTGGGGTGGCCTGGTAGGTAGTCAGGGTGGGGGGTCCCCGGGGAAGCTGCGGCAGAAGCCCTGGCAGGCAGCACTTGGCACTATGCTCCCACGCCTCAGCGTGCCAGAAGGCACGGTGGCGGATGGTGCGAACTACACGGGGAAGAGGAGGATGAGGAGGAGGACGAGGAGGAGCAGGAGGAGGAGGAGGACGCTGACGATCAGGATGGGGAGGAGGCCGGGGAGGGATACGAGGAGTACGAGGACGAAGTGTGGGCATTCGCACGCGTGCGGGGCTGCGCCCGATGTATGCTCGCCGTTGAGGCTGGCGGGGGGGCCCAAGCGGCGAGCCGTCTTGTGACTACGAAGGGACTGTAGAGAAGAGTCCCACATGGGGGGGGGGGGGGGGGGCGGGGCGCTCGAGACCGCCCGGTCGGGCAGCTGTTTCGCCGGACACCTCCTCGAATGCTAGTCAGAGACATCGTGGTCTCGCCTCAATGCCGGCTCTGTTGTTGGTTCAGACGGCCACGACCCCTTGGCTCATGATTCACGAAGGTGCACATGGCCGTGCCCTCACTCTCGTCCTGCCTGCATCTCTCTGAAGAAGCCGTCGGGATAGCGCGTTGTTTTCTTTCGCCGACGTCCGGCTCCTCGACGGGGTGCTGTGCTGGGATCGTTGTTAACGTGTGGCCCTCGGGAAGCCTGACACCCCGTCTTCCCCGAGGCCGGGCGTTTCATCCTGGCTCGGAACGCTCTCGGCCTTGGCATCGCTCGGACGTGTGCATTTACTTCGGCGAGGGCCATCGAAGATCAGATTGCATCATCTGGCACGAGGAGCACGCGCGAAACCGAAAAACGCACGGGGAATGGACGTCGAAGCGATGGCGAGCGGCGAGGCGCAGCGGGTGGAACGCAGCGCGCCGCCGATCCCAAGCAGCAGCGCGCCGCTCAGCGCCGTCTTGGGCGCCGCGTAACGGCGGGGTGATGAATGGAGGGGCAGCGAGGGTTGGTGAACAGGGGCCCCTTGCAGGGCCCCTACAGGGGGCCGCTCTGGGATCCAAAGGGGGACACGTAGTGCCCGAAAAATGCACCTCCTTCCCCCCCCCATACAGTGGGGGCCCATGCCAAGAAACGCCCTGCTTGCCTCCAGGGTGTCCCGGTTTTCTTGGGTTTCCATGGTGTTGCGATGGAAGCCGTGGCGTTCCCACACCAAAAAATCAATGGACGTCCTGGGTTCTCAGGGTTGGGTTTCTTGTGGAAGGCTTCTTTTGGACTGACATCCACTGTAAGCCGCACCCGACTGTCGTCCCTCGTCGAGGAGGAAGAGGAAGGAGGTGAAGGAGGAGGAGGAGGAGGAGGAGGAGGCCACGCGGAAGCCTTCCCCTCGGCGGCGGCCCCGCCCTAGCCCGGGCGCCGACCACAACGATGAGCCGACGACAACCACGACCACGACCACGACCACGACCACGACCCCCTCTGCGCGCCGCCGAAACTGGGAAGAGCAAGGGACCCCCTCCTCCCAGAAGCGGAGCGCCCCGCCCGCCCGCCAGGCGGAGGAGTGCCTGGGTCAGATGGCGGCCGCCCTTCTGCGCCCCGACGCCGCGGCCTACGGGGCCGTGATCGATGGCACTCGGCCCCGCGAATGGGAGGATCAGCATCGTCCATCAGAGAAGCAAGAGGTCATGATTATGATACCGTTCAAGATTCCCAAGCTGTCCAGGATTCCCCACTGTTCTCATGTTCCGCACCAGCCGCGCCGCTAAATGTTCTGGAAATGTTGGAACGCATCCTGCGCAATTGTTATCATAACGTCGTTCTCGCTCCAGCATCGTTCAGTCGATCCCCATCCCCATCCCGACCCCCAGCACACCACCACCCCCCGTTGGGGATGTATGCCCCTCGAGACCTGAGGGGGGCAGCCCACACCCTCCAACTGAGGGGTGGAGCCCGGGCCACGTGAGTTGGGATAGGATTTGGTTAAGTAATGTTCGGATGAGGGAAGATCGGGGGTGGCCAAGAGGATGTTGTGCAATCTTTGTGGTGCAATCTAGGTGGCGACGAGGCGGACGGGGCGGCAACGGCGACAGCATAGCTGCCAGACCGTCACACCGGCCAAGATGACGGGCGGCAACGAGGCGGCGACGGGGTGGCGACGGCGACAACATAGCTGGCCTATCACCACACGCCCAGACGACGGGCGGCGAGGAGGCAGCGAAAGCGACAACATAGCCGCCAGACCGCCGCACTGGCCCAGACGACCGGCGGCGACGAGGCGGCGACGGGGCGACAACAGCGACAGCAGCCGCCAGTATTAATCCCTGGGTGCAAACCATGTGTGGGACTTCATGGCTGGGGCCATTATCTTTCCAGATCTCAGGGCTGCTCGTTGTATCTCAACACGTACCTTGACTCCGCTTGGTCCGCGCGCATGCCACGAGCCACGAGTTGCGTCCCCCCCTTTTGGACGCCCCGCTCTTGGAGGGAGGGGGGAGGAGTTTCATGGGCAACGGTGGGGTGGGTATAGGCTTCGGGGGGATACATCGATCCCCAAGCGCCCACTGATGGCCGATAGGGGCCCGCTTCCCCCATCCCGTCCAGGAGCGTGCGGACTAGCTATCGGGGCCTGTCGCCGATCTCTCGGTGGGGTAAGTGGAACAGGGGGACACATAGGCGAGCGGGCATGCGCTAATCGAGGACATGAGAAAACGATGGGGGGCCGAGACATGAGGCATTGGAGGAGGAGGAGGAGGAGGAGGAGGAGGAGGAGGAGGAGGAGGAGGAGGAGGAAGAGGAGGAGGATTCTGTTGGATTCTGCTGGCCTGACCTCCGAAGATGCGAGACACGCACAACTGGCGGCGAAAACGAGCCTGCCACCTACCCCCAGGCTTGTCCTAGGCGATAAGGCGGAGTCTCCTGGAGCGCACGCGGCCGAAACATCGACCACCGCGTGACTAACGGCGGCGGCCTGCTCCGCGCGCCGCCGGGTCCCCCGGCCTCGCCCCAGCGGGGGGGTGAACCGCCGTGGGAGTTGTGAACCCTGGGGGGAGGAGAGGAGACGAGAGGGGGAGACGACGAGGAGAAGGGAGAGAGGAGGAGGGGAGGGGCACAGTCCCACAGCAGCCTACCCCCCTCCCCCGGGGGAGGCGCGACCCCTCCCGCCTCCGCCAGTCCTGCGGCCTGGTCCCCAGCTCTACTTATACCCCGCCGATCCAGGCGGCGCCGACCACCCCACTGGCTCCGCCAGTGGGGGGCGCCCCGGCTATCCCCGAGTCGATGACGGGGCCATTGCTATCCAAGCAGGGGGGGGCGAGGAGGAGGAGGAGGTGAAGGAGGAGGAGGAGGAGAAGGCGGAGCAGCAGCGAGGGATTGAGGAGGAGGGGAGGAGGAGGAGGAGGAGGAGGGCACGGCGAAGACGAACTGACACAGCACTGCCATTTTCACGCATGTGTGTGGCTTTCATTCGACTCGGCGAACGAGCTATGCGCCGCGCCCGCGCTCGAGTCCCGCGTCTGAGCGGAATGCGCACAGAGCGTGCGCGGGGACGACAAGTCGCCCACTCGAGCGGGCAGTCCAACTTGGCGAGTGAACCGAAGGTGCCTCGTCGAGGCGGGCGCATCACCTTCAGGCGAACTCCGCGCGGTACCGAGGCGAGAGCGACACTGTCGTCCGCGCGCGCGTCGACGGAGTTCTCGTGCGAAAGTGTGCGCCGCGCCCAAGCGGGAACTCAGTCCTTCAGAAAGCCTAGCACGGCGTCGAGGCGAGAGCGACACTTCAGCCGTTCGCGTGGGGTGCGCACCCCGCCCCATTCTTGTCGCGCATATTGTAGCATAGACGACGTCCTGCCCATGCTGATATGCGAATTGCATTACTTCTTACGTTCGGATGGGGCATCCTCGATCCGGCCTTACCGGCCGGTTTTGTGGCAGAGAAGGGGTGTATACCAATTCGGAATGAGGATGAGGCAGCATGATAAGGAGGAGGTGAATGATGAGTGAAAAGGAAGTGGGGCGGGTCCTCTTCCCCCTCCCTCATTCCTCCTCCGTCTTTCTTTCCTCATCCCTCGTCCTCCTTCCTCCTCCTCCTCACCGCGGGGTGGAGGGGGGGGAGGCAGGGGAAAGGGGGGAGATGAAGAAGGAGGGGGTGGAGGAGAAGGAGATGAAGGAGAACAGAGGAGCGAGAGGGAGAGCGAAAAAGGAGGCAGGATAACGAGGAAGGGAAGCAGATGCAGAAGAGAAGCGGGAATATCGAGAGGAGGAGGAGGACCAGGAGGAGGAGAAGGATAATGAGGAAAAGGAGGAGGCGGAAGAGGAGGAGTGGGAGCAAAAGGAGGAGGAGGCGGAGGAGGACGAGGAGGGGGTGGAGGAGGAGGAAGAGGAGGAGGAGTATGGGGAGGTGGTAACTGCCCTTATTCACTTATCTCTTCATGTTTACCCCTCCCCCACTTCATCATGCCATTACGCCATTCCTCCCTTCATCATCTTGATCCCCCTCATTGTGGAAAAGGGAAGGGGAGGCGGAGAATCGAGGAAGGAGAGGAGGTGGATGCAAGATAGATTCGTTCGCGCCTCATTTGGCATCGTACCGCTCCCACCCATCCCGTCCCATTGTGTTGAATTCGTTACTGTATGCGGCGACTTGCGCGACCACGAACGAGACCACTCCCCTGCAGAACGGCTGCGCGGCACGATGAGGAACAGTTTCCCCCTTCAAGAGGAGATGGCAACCCCTTTCATCTCAGCCCGAGCGTACTTGACAGATCATCTCAAACCCTGGCCGTGGCCACGCCGAAAAATGCAGGCAGAGTGGCGTCCCAGATCTCTTGCGCCACGATTTTTCCGCAACGGGGACCCCGCCGGTCTCGACCTCCCTCCCGCTGGTCCAACTTTCCATCCCGAGCCGCCTTGTGTTCCTCCTCCTCCTCCTCCTCCTCCTCCTGCTCCTCCTCCTCCTCCTCCTCCTCGTCCTCCTGATCCTCCTCCTCCTCCTCCTCCTTCTCCTCTCCCTCCTCCTCCTCTCCCTCCTCCTTCTCTTCCTCCTCCTCCTCCTCCTCCTCCTCCTCCTGCTCCTCCCTCCTCCTCCTCCTCCTCCACGTCCTCCTCCTCGTCCTCCTCCTCGTCCTCCTCCTCCTCCTCCTCCTCCTCCTCCTCCTCCTCGTGCCCGTTCTCCTGCCGCTGTGCGACGGGGCCCTGGGGCCCTGGACCTCTCTCTCGCGCGTCGAGACCACGGCGGCGGACCGCGGCTCCGGTGGCGGCGGTCGGATCGCCGCGAGCCGCGGCTGGCGGCGTCGAGACGGCCCGCGGCGTCGACGCGCGGCCGGCGGCGTCGGGACGACGGTGACGCGGCCGGCGGCGGCGGTGGCGCCCGCCAGAAGGCCACGCGCGGCAGGGCGACGCGCCGCAGGCCGCCCTGTGGCTGGAGCGCATGGCCGCCGCGCGCATCGCGCCCGACTGCGCGGCGTACACCGCGGTGATCGACGGCTGGGCCAGGCGTCAGCGTCGTCGTGGTCTTCGGGTTGTCGGCGTGAATCAGGGGGAAAAGAAACACACAGACACAATTAATCGTCGACTCCCATGAAAATATGCAAAAATATGGGAAGTGGGGGGGAAGACAAAAACCCAGAAAATATAGGAAAATATGGGGAATAATTTTATGTGTATTTATTTGTGTGTCCTAATTTCCCTTTAGTGAAGGAGTGCAGGGACCTGGATCGTGTCCAGCCTCCCGAGGCCCTTCTGGGCCCATCGGCCGTCAAACACAACGACTCGGGACGGGAAGCTGGTCCTCGGGGAGGCCCCATCTCTGCCAGGATCGGCTCGGCCAGGCAGAGCAGACTGGTGCGAGGATCGATGAAGGAGGAGGATGAGGGTGAGGATTGAGGATCGACGTTTTTGACTGTTTGGAGGGTTTCTCTTGCCTCTGGAGGGCTGTGCAGATCTCTGGAGAGCTCTGGGGGAGGACCCTCAGACCTGACGTAGTCTGAACAATACAACATCGCAATAAAACACCACCGGGGCCCCAGATCCCATCTGACGAAAACGCTTTATGTGAAAACACTGCAACGCCAGGATCTCAGGGCAGCGGGAGGACGAGGAGAAGCAGCGGCGGGAGGGGGTCGCGCCGCGCACAAAAGGGGGGGGGGGGGGCCTCCTGCGAGGGCACGGGGCCCCCTCGAGGGGCTCGGAGGCGTGCTCGCCGCCAGGCGCGGGCGACCCTCAGATCCGAGGTCCTCGGAAGAGTCGCGGCGGGCGTCTCTTGGATGCTCTTTGAGGTTCGAGGATGAATTGTCGGAGCACTCTGTCGGAGCCCAGGCCAGGCCAGTGGGAAACTGGACCGGTGAAACAGCGCTCAGAGGAGGGAAGGTCGGGGGTGGCCAAGAGGGGGTCGATGACCAGGGTCGGCGAAGACAAACAAATGCATATATATATATGTATGTATGTATGTATATATATATATACATATATAGATATACATATGTATTCATAAACTTTCGACGGTCCGCGCGGACTTCTTGGATCTGCGCTGGTCCTCGCTGGCGGCTCCTCTGACGCCGCCCCTGGCGCGCTCCGCGAGCTAAGGAGGGGTTCCAGAGCAGATCCAAGAAATGCGCAGGGAGCTCTGAAAGTTAGTGTATATGCAGTTCTTTGTTCCTCTATGGTTGCTTCTGTTGGCGCCTTCCAGTGAGGCTTGCGGGCGGGGCCCTCCGCAGGGACCCCTACATTGAGACCTTTTAGTTCCCGTCGTCGTGGGAACATTGCGACTGGCTGTTTCGCCCCTTTCTGCGGCGGGCCCCCCCTGTCCTCGCTCGTCCTCGTCGTCGTCTTCCTTCTCCTCGTCGTCGTCCTCCTGCTTCTTTTCCTCCTCCTCCTCGTTTTCTCCTTCCCCTTCTTATATGAACGCTCGTCTCGCCTCCCTTCGGATCCAGCCCGATCGTGACTGTTTTTCTGCCACACGTTGATTTTGACATGTTGTGTCTGTATACATATATATATATACATTGGTATCAACTGTGATGTTTGATCCACCACTTCAAAAGTGGGTTTTTGTTTTCCCTGAACACGGCCCTCGCAGGATCTTCTCTCCTGCCCCTTCTCGTCCTCACCATCATCATCACCATCAGCATTATCAGCATAATCTGCATCATACATATCATCAACATCTTCATCTTCACAACCATCTTCATCATCACCGCGATGCCATCATTATGATCACAGTCATCACATGGTTCATCACCTTTACCATTCCCATCGCCATCCACATTACTTCACACACCCATCATCGGCATTAGCACCATCATCTTCATCACGACTGCCCTACAAATCATCACCACCACCCTAACCATAACCCGCGCAAACAGACCATGGTCTCACGCACATCATCACCACAACATGTATTCACAGTCGCCATCACCATCATCGCATCATCACCATGCCGTCGCCATCAATCATGGCACCATGTTCTAACAGTCACCATTCATCTCGCACTGGTACACACATATTGAGTTTGATGAACAATCAGGCGCATGCCTCGTCTGTCAGTGAGTTGTTAGGAAATCTCCAGCGGGAGCCCCCTCCCTGTGGGGCCCGCACTTTATGGTAGTATTCCGAGCGGGTCATCAGAAAATTCGTGAGGATGTCTCGAGATGGGGCCTCGTCAGCGAGTGAATTTCGAGGAAGTTCCAGGCCAGGGCCCTGCATGTGGGGCTCGAATTTCGCGTTCCCAATCCGAGTGGAGTATCGGCAAGCTTTACCAGGCATAGCACTTGAGCACCCCAAGCGGGCTAATGGTGAGGATGTCTGTAGGAGCCACGTCTCAGAGTGAACAGCGGGGAAGTCGCATGCGGGAGCACCCTCCCGATGCGCCTGCACTTCATTTCACGAGTCCGAGCGGGTCATCAGCAACATCTGCCAGGCATAGCACTTGGCCCCCCCCAAGGGGGCAACTCGTGAGGGTGTCTCGAGCGGGCGCCTCGTCTGTGAGAGCATAGAG